TAGAAAATTTCAATACTTCTCGGATATAGTCAAGCCGTTATCACAGTTAACACAATACAGTGTTCACAACGATGCTATTTCTTAGCACATGGTGAAAAGTTCACTAAATCAAGAACACAGGTATAAAATGGAAAAAAGTTTCTTGGCATTCACAGGCTCTAGAAAAAGTGTCAATCATGAGTGTATAGCGATCAAACCTGTTGTTGCAAGCGTCGTAGCTTGCTCCTCAGAATAAGATCCCTTGTCTGATGCCTATACTGTCCCCGCAGCAACAAAGCTATGCAGTTTCATTGCTGTGTCATTCAAATAGGCAATTATTACTTGTTATTCAGCCTGTGTCAGAGCCTTGAGCAGAATTACCATGAATGGTGTGAGTATCAATTGGTGAAGGTGAAGAGTAAATATAGCACTCAGTATTTCTATTCTGACTTACATTGAGCTGTGTAAACTTCATGCTTTAATCAAAGCCTATTCACAAAAATCTTTTACTCATAAATAGTGACAATTCAATCTCTGATTAAACCAAATTGAAAATTATTCTGCTAATTATTCAAAGTTTGGTATGTTGCATAACCTCTTCAGTCCCTATGACCCCTTTTGGAACCACCGCTTTGAGTAAGCACCCCGCCCCGGTGGTCTAGTAACTAAGGTACTCCGATGCTGACCCGCAGGTCGCAGGTAAGCGGGTAGACTTTACTAGAAGGAGGTTATCTGATTGGTGGCTAAAGTCAAGACACGAGTGAAAATTAAACTCTTCACTGCAAAGTACGAATCCTCAAAGTCACTTTTTAAGGAAAAAAATAAATATAGTTTTTGGTTCATTAGGTGTTACGGCTTGGTGGCGCTAGCCACCGCCCGATCTAAAGGCTACAGCCATATCCATCCATCCATCCATCGTTAATGAAAGGTGACAGGATGAACGTTGCTAATTATCGTCCAACCACCATACTGCGAGCATCGACAGAAGCTTTTTAAAGGGCAGTGTAAGTAATACCTAACTGCTTTTGAGAAACATCAATTGCATGCATTTGAAAGAAAGGGAAAATCAACGAAACGTTCTCTACCTAATATTGCTCATAAAAAGTAATTCAGAAAGCAATACTCAAAAAGACCATATTTCTTGACCTCAAGAAAGCGTTTGATATGCTTGACAATTGCGCTATAATAACGAAATTGGAACACTATGAAATATGAACCACATTACCAATTCTGTCTTAATATGAAAATAATAAGCAGAAATATCTATACATATATATGCAAAAGTTTTGTCATTATGTTGATGTATAAAACACATAGTGCTTTTTGCAAGAATTCATTCCGGGCCACTTTCGTATTTTACGTTTTAATAATATCTACCATCCATCACTTATGAAATTGTATCCTTCAAGCAGACGACATTATTACATTTGCAACAAACAGAAACGAAAATATACTATGTGTAGTGAGGAATTCGCAAGGCACTGACTAGTGAGACCATCTCTCTCGGAGTGCGAAGCGCGAGCTGTAGACGCAGGACTGCTCGAGAATTTCTGTCTGTACTGGCTGCGTGCCTACTACCTGGCGTCACTATTAACTCTTTCCTTACCGCGCCTATTCAATTTCGATCAATCTGATCGATGGGTTCAATTTGAAATTCCCGCGCCCCAACGCGCCGTATGGACATGAGGCGCCATCTGAAATGAAACTCAGGAAGCACACAACCCGTGTCAGTTTCGGTTTTGGTTTCCGGACACCCGCTGATTTTTGACCTTGCTTGGAAGATAAGCGAGCGCCTGGCGATAGCGGCAGCCATGGCATCGTCGTCGTGCGTCGGGTCTGAAAGGAATCGTCGTATTTCTCGCGATTCTAGTGTTGTAACAGTAGATTTTTCGGATGAAAGTGGTAGCAGTGGCTCTGAGGAAGATTCCCTATCATCGGAGTTTAGCACCGACAGCGATGAGGCCCTCAACACACCGGGAACGTCATCGTCACCTCGACGGTGAGTTTTTTTACGGGATTTATCGCGTTGTTGAGCGCCTGCGAGGGGACCGAGCGTGTTGTCACAGTTATTATCTCTATCCGCAGGGTCTCTACGTCCTATGGGCGCGATTCAATGCCTCCCGCTGCACAGCGCGTGCAGTTTTGTCCAAGACGGAAACCGGGAGTCGATCTGGGCATGGCGCGACGGAGCAGCGCTAGTCGGTTTCTTCGAGCCCTGGATTTCTTCTTGCTGTTTTTCTCAACGGAACTCGTCACAGCGATGTGCGAGAACACAAATAAATACGCCTGGGCGCACATTCTCGAGAAACCAACGTACTCGGAACGCGACGGATCGTGGAAAAATGTTTCCCCAGATGAAATGATGAAGTTCATCGGACTCCTCATCTACATGGGGATAGTGCAACTGCCTCGCCTGCACCTCTATTGGAGCACAGCAGAGTTGTTTTCTGGGCTAATCCCACGTGGGGTTATGCCAAGAAAACGTTTTTTCTCCTTCCTCGGTATGCTGAGCGTGACGGATCATGAAGCTACCAATCCCGCTACAGACGGCAAGCTGCACCGAATTGCTTTTTTACTTCGGCACATCAATGATGTATCTGCGCTCCATTTCCAGCCAGACCGTTACATTTCCGTCGACGAAAGAATGGTGAAATCCAAAGGCCGTTCGGGAATACGACAGTATCTTCGCGACAAGATAGTCAAGTGGGGATACAAGCTGTGTGTCCTCGCCGACTCCAATTCCGGCTACACAGTGCAGTTTAGTGTCTACACCGGAAGCGTGAGACACCGAGCGTATATGGACTCGCATTTGATGTCGTGACTAGCCTGTGTGAAATGTATTTTGACCAGGGATACACACTATTCATGGACAATTTTTACACGTCCACGTCTCTTTTTTTATACCTCCTGGAGCGGAAGACTCTTGCTTGTGGAACGACACGGAAGGATCGTCGCACGTTCCCTGCGGAATTGAAGGACTCCACATGGGAGAAAAAGGCCAAGAGGGGATGTTCGCTGGCTGCGGCATCAAGGCGTCCTGTATCTTCAATGGAAGGACAGAGGCGTGGTACACATGATGAGCACTGCCCATACTGCGAACAGCCATGTGATTGCAACAAGAAAACTAAAGGTCGCTGGCCAATGGAAGAAGGTCCCAATTAGGAAACCAAGACTACTTGAAGATATAATGCAGGCATGCTTGGAGTAGACAGGTCAGACGAGCTCATCGCATCGTACAATGTGTTGATGAAGTGCGTCAGGTGGTGGAAAACTTTGTTCTTCCACTGCATCGACATCGCTGTTGTGAACAGTTTTATTCTTTTTGAGGCCCATAGGAGAGAGCACCCCGAAATTCCAGAACTGCACCGAGCGCCTCGTTACGACCAGCTTGCCTTCCGAATGGAGCTTGTGAAGCAGCTACTGGAAATTGAAGCCACAGGTTTTGGCAGCACCCCTCCCCCTCGAGAGTCTGCGCACAAGCCAAAAGTGATGGAAACTAGGCGCAACTGCAAGCTCTGCTATGCGAGCCGCAAGGTTGAGCACAAGACGAGCGTCTTTTGTGAAACGTGTGGCGTTTACTTGTGCTTCATCGCGACCAGAGACTGTTTTGGTGAGTGGCACCGCCACCACAAGGGATAAAACATTTTTGTGTGGTCTCACAGTTATTTACGTGTACTCTTGTAACCTCTGTGGTCTTTAGAAGCAACTACTACCTAACCAATGTATATTCAGAATTTGTATTGCCATCTTTTCGCTTGTTACACCCACTAATTTTAAAAAAAAATTGTGTACTTGAGAATTGTTTTGTTTGTTATTTTTTTATTCTTACTGTGTAATAATAACTTCTTCTAAATTCATTGAAATAAATAGACCATTTATTCCTCTACATTTTAATGGGCTGCAGAGCATCTACAATATCTTTTATCTGCGGATAAAATTTTTTTCTTGCACCCTTAGAAACTTGTCCCGTAATCACAAGTGCTAACTTTTTTTGCTGTGCTAACAATTTTTTATGTGTACTGTTGAAACTTTTAGGATAGTTAGCTATGTAAATGCCACAAAACGTATGTCTTGAATTTTTTTTACTGAGATATTTGTGCCCACCATGCTTACTTTCCCACAATTTTTTTGCGGTAATTGCGAGAAATTTGTTGTTTGGGATTTTTTTTTCTGCTATTGTGTTGCAAACACATGTTTTGTATTATATCATTAGAAAGCGCATTTATTTGTCTACATTTCGTTATATTACAATCAACAAAAAATATTGTTATATAACGATAAACTTTTTTTTGCACCACATGAAAACGGGTCTTTTCCTGGCGGTAAGGAAAGTGGTGGAAAGTGGTGGAAGTGTGCTGGGTACGCAAACCTGGAACTTCGAAGCCGGAAGCTGCCCACTGCATCAGCAATGCATGATCAGACGACCGAGCAATACACCTCCCTGCAGAGCATGGCCCAATCTCAACTGGTCATCGTACTTACCACCCTGCGCCAACGGGATCCCCCCTTCTTCAGCGGCACCGAGGACCAAGGTGTGGAAGACTGGTTGCAACTGCTTGAAAAGGTGAGCGCCGCCAACAAGCGGGACGAACCCTCGAAATTGGAGTACGTCCCATTTTATCTCAAAGACGTCGCCAGCCTATGGTTTACAAACCACCGTGCAGAATTTACCCCTTGGGCCGCTTTCAAGACCACCCTTGCAGCTGTGTTCAATCGCCCCGCAGTGCGCAAGCTGCGTGCTGAACAGCGCCTACGCGGACGAGCGCAAAGGCAGGGCGAAAACTTCACCAGCTACATTAAAGATGTTATCAATTTATGCCGGTGCTTTAACCCTGAGATGACAGAACAAGACAAGATCAGGCATATCTTGTGAAAAATAGACGATGATGCCTTTCAAATGTTGCTGGCAAAGGGCGCAAGTACCGTATCCGAACTTGTGACCTTGTGCCAGAACTTGGAAGAGATTCGCAAGCAACGTGCATTAGTTCGGAGGTCAACGACAGCAGACGACTCTCTCGCTTCCCTGGCCGTCGGTGGTGACAGCACCCTGCTGGAGCAGATAAAAGTATATGTACAAGAAGAGGTCGCACGACAGCTTTCGTGTCTCTCGTATCTGCCGACCACCGAAGCATCAACGAACCGTATAGCGGCGACAATCAGACACGCTATTCAGGAGCAGGTCTCCGAGGCGTTGCCATTACCTACGCGTGCCTCTCCATCAACACCTGTTGCCGCGCCACTGACTTATGCAGCCGTCGCGACAATGCCTCCGCCTCGTCTGCCATTGTATACGCCACAACCTGTGCGACCTTCCACTGCGCCGTTTCCAGCTACACAGCAGCACACTGGAAATCCTTGGCGCACTGTTGACAACCAGCCGATATGTTACTTTTGCGGGATTCCAGGTCACATTGCGCGTCTATGTCGTCGGCGCTGCGCAGCTAATACACCAAGTTACCCTGACTACTCGTTTCGGCCTCCATGCCACGCGCCTCGAGTGCCACCTGAAGTTCACGAACGCAATGCGCAAGCTGCTCCGCTTCTCGACGGAGCAGCTCCGCTTCTTGACGTTCTACTTCCCGCTCGCCTTCCCCTTTACCATGTCCTCGTTCCGTGTCGCCTGTGCGTCGACGACCCACCTCCATTAAGACGGAAAACTAACTGCCGCAGCTCCGGAGGCACGAGCTGCGTCATCGTCTAATTGTTTAAGTCCTCGCCTGTCTCCCGCCAATCTTATCGATGTAATCGTCGAAGGTGTACGAACACTTGCACTCATCGATACCGGTTCTGCGATATCTGTGATTAATCAAAGACTCTGCCGCTGTCTTCGTAAAGTGACGATGCTTTCTCCCGTAGTTTCTCTTAGCACTGCGAGCGCCCAACAAATTGAGCCCGTCGCGGCATGTACGGCAAAAGTGGTTATTCGAGACGTGTTGTACATCATTGAATTTCATGTGTTGGCTTCATGTTCCCACGATGTCATCCTAGGATGGGATTTCCTATCACGTTCTCACGCCGTCGTTGACTACGCTCGGGCCGAAGTGGAGCTGTTACCGTTTCGTGATGCGCCTTCTGTTGATGCGGCCGTATCTAGTGTGGCTAACCTTGTCGTCGCGACGGACATTGACCTTCCTCCTTTCAGGGCCCCAGTTTGTCCCCGCCTGCTGCACTTTACTCTCTGACGCTACCGTCCTATTCACGCCATCTCACATCTTCAGTTGTCGCCATAACACATCGCTGCCATTCGCCGTTCTTGCGCTTTGTCAAGACACTACCGGAATATTTATTTCCAATGCGAACTCGTGCCCCCTCAGTTGCGCCGCAACGAGACGCTCGGCCACATTCAGCTTATCGATGAAGGTACTATCGTGCCTGCCGATTTCTTCGACACCAAGCCGAATATGGAGCTGAACGCGTTGGTTCCTCACTTTGCCTCGAACAGTGTGTCTTCCGATGCATTTCATTGTTCTATTGACTGCCATCTAGCCCGGCTCAACGAGAGCAGATTGTTACCCTGTAGCACGAATTCAAGCGTTCGTCGACTTTCCTCAAGCGGTTCAAGGAAGAACGAATGCCGTTGTGCACACATTGATACAGGAGAGAGTACTCCTAGCGCCAGCGCCCCTATCATGTGTCTCCGGCGGAGCGCCGCGTAATTGCAGAACAAGCAGACAACATGCTACAGCGTGGAGTCATCAAGCCTTCTTGTAGTCCTTGTTCTTCACCAGTGGTACTCGTCAAAAAAAAAGGATGGTTCGATCCGGTTCTGCGTGGACTACAGGCGCCTAAACAGCATTACGAGGAAAGATGTTTACCCTCTTCCCGGCATAGATGACGCTCTGGATTGTCTTCAAGGTGCAGAATTCTTTTCCTCGCTTGACCTTCACTCAGGTTATTGGTAGGTCCCAACGGCGGGAGTCTGATAGTCTAAAAAACGGCGTTCGTCACACCAGATGGTCTCTATGAATTCACGTAATGCCATTTGGACTCTGCAATGCCCCTGCCACATTCGAGCGAATGATGGACAGCATTTCACGCGATCTCAATTGGAACATCTGCTTGTGCTATCTTGATGACGTTGTAGTCTTTTCACCCGATTTCACTTCGCATCTCACTCGTGTGCGTGAAATTCTCCAGTGGCTTACAAACGCCAGGCTTCAGCTTAACCTGAAGAAATGTCACCTCGGGGCTAACCAACTCACCATACTTTGGTCATGTCGTCTCGAAAGCCGGCATCTTTCCTGACCCTGACAAGCTTCGTGCTGTTTACCGAATTTCCTAAGCCTACTACAGTTAAATACTACGGAGCTTTGTGGGCCTGTGCTTCTATTTTCGTCGGTTTGTCCGAAACTTTGTTTCTATCATCGCTTCGCTCACGAAACTCCTTGCTGGCCCTGCAGATCTTTCGAAGTGGACAGAAGCCTGTGACGAATTCTTCACAACACGACGCCAACTCCTTACCTCACCACCCATACTGCGTCATTACGACCCTACTGCGCCGACCGAAGTACACACGGATGCAAGTGGCGTCGGCCTTGGTGCAGTACTCGCGCAACGCAACCAGGTTTTACGGAGTATGTGGTCGCCTATGCCAGCCGTGCCCTCACTATGGCAGAAGCCAACTATTCTATTACTAAAAAAGAGTGCCTGGCGATTGTGTGGGCGTTAAACAAATTTCGCCCCTATTTCGTACGGCCAAACTTTTGACGTGGTAACAGACCATCAGGCACTCTGTTGGTTAGCTTCACTGAAAGATCCTTCCGGCCGCCTCGCGACGTTGGGCACTACTACTCCAGCAATTCGACATACGCGTCATCTACCGATCGCGGCGAAAGCACTCATGACGCAGATGCGCTGTCACGATCACCCGTGAAATCTGATGATACGTAAACATCAGCCCTGACCTTCCCCTCTCTGCCGTCAGTGTCACAGACATGTGATCCAAACAGCGGAAAGACTCTTGGATTGTCTCGCCTTGATTATGCTTTCTGACGCATCAACTTCCGGTTACCCGCGTGCTCTTCGCCGCCAAGCAACGCATTTAGCCATACGAGATGGCCTGTTATACCGTCGCAACTGTCAAATGTGGGTCGTAAATGGCTGCTAGAAATACCCAGCCATATGCACTCTGATATCTACGAATATTTTCATGCTAAGCCGCAACACGCACACGCCGGTGCGCTAATTAAGTCCCTAATTAAGTGTAAGACTGGATTATCACCCACTCCATTCATTAGTCCGTCCACCACGAGGGAAAATACGACACACACATAGCCACAGTTTATCCCCAATCTTGCCCGACAAATACCTTTAGGTTTTCAATTTTCCACGCATGGTAGATGACTGGAATAAATTGCCAGACAAGAATTTTTAGTCGAAATTTTATGACAGCCCTACACGATCCTTTTAGAAACTTTTAATTACTGACGGTCGGGTTTTTTGCAATGTTACTTGAAGTTGTGCGTGATTTTCTAGTTCTATTTGGATTGGAAATCCTGCTATGTTTGTGCGAAAAAATCGGTTTCACCGTAGCTTGTTTATTTTGGTAGTTCCAAGTGAATTCTGCGTTTTGTTGCTTCATTGTTTTTGTTACATTGCATTGCATTATAT